TGTGTGTGTGTGTGTGTGTGTGTGTGTGTGTGTGTGTGTGTGTGTGTGTGTGTGTGTGTGTGTGTGTGTGTGGGGTGACACTGAATACTGTTTTGGAGCAATTCATAATTCCTACCGTCTTACAGATTTTTTTTCGTATTGTCCAGTTTAGATGCAAAGGATATAAGGTAAGATCACCCACACATTTTTTTTCCTATTCATGGGAAATAAAATTCAGCAACATGAATAATGGCAGCACACATGTTGCTACTCTTACAAACACCTGTGTGTGTGTGTGTGTGTGTGTGTGTGTGGGGTGACACTGAATACTGTTTTGGAGCAATTCATAATTCCTACCGTCTTACAGATTTTTTTTCGTATTGTCCAGTTTAGATGCAAAGGATATAAGGTAAGATCACCCACACATTTTTTTTCCTATTCATGGGAAATAAAATTCAGCAACATGAATAATGGCAGCACACATGTTGCTACTCTTACAAACACCACCAGTCAAGATTGGACATTCAAGGCGCTATTGAATGTGACAGTCCAACCCATTGACTGGAAGTGTATGTTATGTTTTGCTTTATAATGTTTTGGCACCTATATTTTTTTTTCAAATTCAAGTATTATTCAAATCCACCCCCTGCCCCCGTGCCGCAATCTTATTTATTCATGCTCCCTTTATGATGCCTTTTTGCAATTGCATGATTGAACCGCCTAACTCACGTAGTGCCCAAATATCCATCTTTTCTCGATGCCGCTTATCTTCGCTTCATATCGTGTGGCGCTGGAGGACACCGTATTCAGACAAGCAACCATTCACACTGTCACTGAATGGGAAACAAACTCCGCGACACTGAAACAAATAATCCTTTGGATTGATTTAATTCAAGCGTCTACCGGTGCATCGGCTGGGCATGATTAAAATAAACAAAAATGTGTTCGTTGAGCACATTTTAATCATGTGCAGCACAAAATCAAGTACGTTTTTTGAGTGTACCATCAGTAACGCCGTATCATTATTTTATTGTTATTATTATTGCTGTTGTTTGTATATCTATTTATTCGATGCATTTGTAACAAACTTTGTAACCTGTATATAATATGACACTGAAGGAATGTTAAACCCTGAGCGTCAAATAGTTTCACGTCAGACTTATGTTTGTGTGTTGTTTATGTAGTTCAGTGTGGGCCAAACGTGATCCTGTCGGGAGAATGATTTTCCCATTTGGCTTGTATTTGAGAAGGTGACACACCCGTGACCTCTTGACAGCAAGCCGTCGTGCTGACCAGCGACGAGGGCGGCGGGTCACCGGCGTCATCTCAAATGAGTCCCTCGGGGAAAAATGGGGCCGAGACATTTGGGAATTTAATGGGGGGGGGGGGCTTCAGTTGGTTGAACATGCCTACCTCGAGTGGTATGCTGGGGATGTTTTTTTTTTTTCTCTTCTTTTTTTTTTATCTCCCCACACTTCCTTTTAGCCATTCTGCTACAAACTTAAATGTGGTCACACAATTTTATTGGTCCTAATGACTGTTTTTATTGATCTTTTTGTTTTGTTGTATTTATTAAAAGTTGTCGAGGCCTGTAAACATGTATTGTTTTAACACGAGATCTTGCTTGGTGACTTGAATCAAAAGTTTTAATCCTTTTTTTCTTTTAGTGTGGCCTGTTCAGTTGTGAAGGAGCTGGGATACTTTCAGGATTCGCTTTTCTTCTGTTCAGTACCACTAAAAGTTTTGCTTTTTAAAAAAACAAAATTAAAAA